TTTGAATTTGGATTCCTGTCTCTCTACGATGGACTCTATTTCTTTGTTCATTTCCTTTTTGTATGCCACTAATTTTTTCTCTACTTGTGTCTCTATTTGTTTGGCTATGTTTGCCTGTGTTTCTTTAAGGGTTTTGTCTATTTCTTCTTTCTTTATCTCCAATTGACTGGCCAATTCTTTGAAAGATTTGTTCATTTCCTCCTTATGAGCCTCAAATAATTGAGCAAGCATGGCTTTAAGGTCATTTTCCTGTGCTTCTGATGAATTGGAGTATCCATCGATTTTGGGGTTTGCTGGTGAAGTCATGATGTCCTGATTTATGTTGGAAGTGTTCTTTCGCCTACCCCTGGCCATTGGCTTATCTGAGACCTTCCCTGTTTGTTTTTGGATTCTGCCGATCAGACTGGTACTGTCTCTCTCTCGAGTCTGGAGAATTCTTCAGGAAGTTGAGAGAGGTCCCGTGTCCTTAGCGTGTGCTGAGGACTAGCTGTACAGGCAGGTCACTTGGCAGAGATCGGGGTATCTGGCCTCTCTGCTCTCTGGTTTGGCCCTGCTTCTTTGATGTGCTCCGCCAGTTCAGTGCTGTTGTCACTGCCAGGTTATGAGGTCTTGCTGCAGCTGGAGATTTCAGGGTGGTCACGTCAGTGGGAATCAGGGTAACCAGCCTTTCTGTTCTCTGTTTTGGCCCTGGTTAGTCTTAAACTGGAGGGCTGATGTGCCCCGCCAGCTCAGTGCTGCTCCACTGCCAGGTTAGAAAGTCCCGCTGTAACTGGAGACTGGGTTGCTAGTCCAGATGCTTTCTGGGAAGTCCTGGGGTCTCTTCACTGTGCTCTCCAAGCTTCGGAGGCCCAGCGCCTGGTGTGTCTAGCTTGTATGGCGTTTCTGTCTGGTTTTGGTGAGTATATAGCGTATTCTCTGTCACTGTGGGATTGGGCGGGCCATACCGTCAGTGATCGCGATCCTGCGGAGCTAGTATGGCGTCTAGCAGACTCGGGCCCTGGGAGGATGGTGCAGCCGCTGCGCGAATCTGGGGCTCCAAGACACAGTACTGCTGGCCTTTGCTGATAAAGGGCTTGGGGCTCCGCCTCAGTGGCTGCAGGCCCCAGGCAGTTAGGTCTGCGCTGAGAAAGGCGAGTCTGAGAAAAGCGAGTCCGCTCTGCTCTGGGGGAGGGGAGTGTCGAGAGATCAAAGGATCGTTTCTCACCTTCCCCAAACAAGTCCCTGGGTGACCCGAGACCAAGGTTTTCACCTCCTGCGATGTTCCCTGTTGTTTAGAAAGTCTCTCCGTTGTTTCCCTGGCTTCAGAAGTTCTTCCACTCATCAACTCAGAACTTTATCTCTTCCACAGCTCGGAAACTGTGTGTGCTAGTCGCCATCTTGGCTCCGCCCCCCATTGAGCATTTCTTTAAGTGTTTCTCTGACATTTGATATTCCTCTATTGAGAATTCTTTGTTTAGCTCTATACCTCATTTTTTAATTGGATTACTTGGTTTGTTGGTGTTTAACTTAAGTTCTTTATATATTCTGGATATTAGCCCTCTGTCAGATATAGGGTTGGTGAAAAGCCTTTCCCAGTCTGTGGGCTGTCGTTTTGTTCTGATGACAGTGTCCTTTGCCTTACAGAAGCTTTTCAGTTTCATGAGGTCCCATTTATTATTGTTCATCTTAGAGCCTGTGCTGTTCACGAAGTTGTCTCCTGTGCCAATGAGTTCAAAGCTCTTCTCCACTTTTTCTTCTAACAGGATTAATGTGTCTAGTTTTATGTTGATTTTTTTGATCCACTTGGACTTTAGCTTTGTGCAGGGAGATAAATATGGATCTATTTCTACTTTTCTACATGTAGACATACAGTTAGACCAGCACCATTTATTGAAGATACTATCCTTTTTCCTTTGTTTCAGCTTCTTTCTCAAAAATCAAGTATTCATAGGTGTGTGGGTTTATTCCTGGGACTTCTGTTCAATTCCATTCATCCTCCAGCCTGTTTCTCTGCCAGTACCATGCAGTTTTTATTACCGTTACTCTATAGTACAGCTTGATATCAGGGATGGAGATACCGCCAGAAGGTCTGTTGTTGTACAGATTTTTTTTTTTTTTTAGCAATTCTGGGTTTTTTGTTTTTCCATATGGAAAATGAGAATTGCTCTTCCAAGGTCTGTAAAGAATTGTGTTGGTATTTTGATGGGAATTGCATTAAATATGTAAATTGCTTTTGGAAGATAGACAATTTCACTTTGTTAATCCTATTGATCCATAAGCATGGGAGAACTTTCCATCTTCTGAAATCTTCAATTTCTTTCTTCAGAGATTTGGAAGTTTTTTTTGTCTTTTTCATACACTTCTTTCAATTACTAGGTTAGATTCACACCAAAGTACATTATATTATTTGTGGCTATTGTAAAGGGTGCTGTTTCTCTAATTTCTTTCTCAGCTGTTTTGTGTTCTGTATACAGGAGTTCTACTCATTTTTTTTTGAGTTAATTTTGTATCCAACAACTTTCCTGCAGGTGTTTATCAGCTGTAGGAGTTTCCTGGTAGGGTTTTGGGGTCACTCACATACAGTATCATATCATCTGCAAATAGTGATACTTTGACTTCTTCCTTTCCCATCTGTATCCCCTTGATCTCCTTCAACTGTCTTATTGCTCTAGCAAGGACTTCCAGAACTATGTTGAAGAGATATGGAGAGAGTGGGCAGCCTTGTCTTGTCCCTGATTTCAGTGGGATTGCTTTAAGTTTCTCTCTGTTCAGTTTGATGTGGGCTATAGGCTTGCTATATATCACCTTTACTATGTTTAGATAAGTGCCTTGTATCCCTGATCTCTAGAAAACTTTAAACATGAATGGGTGTTGAATTTTGTAAAAGGCTTTTTCAGCATCTAAGGAAATGATCATGCTTTTTTTCCTTCTGTTTGTTTATGTGGTGGATTACATTGATGAAATCAAGAGCTGGTTGTTTGAGAAAATCAATAAGATAGGCAAACCTTTAGCCAAAACTAACTAAAAGGCAGAGGGAAACTATTCAAATCAGCAAAATAAAAAAGGAAAAGGGGGACATAACGACAGACATTGAGTAAATACAAAGAAACATTAGGTCTTACTTCAAAAGCCTATCTGCCACAAAATCTGAAAATCTAAATTAAATGGACAATTTTCTTGATAGATTCCATTTACTAAAGTTAAACCAACATCAGGTAAATAGATTAAACAGTCCTGTATCTGCCAAGGACATAGAAGCAGTCATCAAAAATCTCCATGCCAAAAAAAAAAAAAAAAAAAACAAAAGCCCAGGGCCTGATGGCTTCAGCGCAGAATTCTACCAGACCTTTAAAGAAGAGCTAACACCAATACTCTTCAAACTATTACACAAAATAGAAACAGAAGGAACAGACCCAAACTCATTCTATGAGGCCAGAGTCACCTTGATACCTAAACCACACAAAAACCCAACCAAAAAAGAGAACTTCAGACCTATCTCTCTTATGAACTTTGATGTAAAAGTACTCAATAAAACATTTGCAAACCGAATCCAAGAACACATAAAAGATATCATCCACCATGACCAAGTAGGCTTCATCCCAGGTATGCAGGCGTGATTCAATATATGGAAATCCATCAGTGTGTGCTATATTTTAATCTATATGCTCTAATAAGTGTAGGAAACAGAAATGGCAGATTTGATAGAGTGCCATGTTGATAGTATGCCTTGGTTTCCACTAAATGGTAAGCTCTCATTTAGTAACACCCTCATAAAAATTCGGGGAGTCAAAAAAGAAAAAAATGTATCATATATTGTTCTTTTATAGTACATGTATTTGTGGCTGGGGAGTGAACTTACATATGTTTGCTTATATGTGAAAGCCAAAGGTTGACATTTTCATGTCTTCATCAGTAGCTCTCCACTTTATTTTTGAGGTCAAGCTTCTCACTGATCCTGGAGCTCATTGAGTCAGCCATACTGGCTGGCCAGTAAGATGTATTTATCTATCTTTGTTATTCTGGGTTGGGAATCTATGCATAGATTGTTTTGTTTTGTTTTTTTAATGTGGGTGTTGGGTATCCAAGTGTAGGCCCCTGTAACTGTGTGACAGGCAACTTCCTGTTGGAGCTGTATACCCAGTCCCTGTTTTCTAGAGAGATCAGAATAGAGAAGCTTTTATTTTAAAGTTTCCCTCAAAAGATGTGTCCATGTTGTGTCTGGACTATGGCTTTTTAGAAGAGAAATCTTTGTGGAATTAAAGATCTTGAGGTGGAACTTATCCTGAATGAGATGGCTCCTAAATTTCATGACCACTCTCCTTACAGGGAAATAAAGAGAAAAGACACAGAGGAGATCAAATGAAGGCAAAGAGGAACCATGCAGTGGCAAGCAGACACTGGGAAGCTTTGCCAGCTGCAGCCAGACAGAGGTGAGGACTAGCTATCACCTCAGGTCCTCAGCAATGCGGAACTCCTGATCTCAGGGGCCTGGCATCAAAGAAGGTCAGAATAAATTCCTATTCTTCTAAGCTTCTGTGCATTGGTGGAAATGTATTATAGTGTCCCTGGGAAATGAATACATCTAAATATATTATTAATATTTGTTTGCTTTTTAAAATGAGGACCTGCAATTGGCTAACACTAAATAGGATTCTAAAGAGAAAAGTTCTGTTAGGAATAGTCCTTGTTCCCCTCACTATGGGAAACCAATTGGTTACTGAGCTACCACAGGCTACATCTAAGCAGAGGTTCTAGGTTACATTCATACATGGTCCTTGGTTGCATGTCAGTCTCAGAAAAGACCCTGTGCCCAGATATCTTTGGTCCTTGTGGAGCTCCTATCCTTTCCTCATCAGACTAACTCCCCTTCTTGGACTTGGCAAGGGGCACGGTGGAGAGGAGGGAGGGAAGGAGGGACTGGGAGAGAATGAGGGCTTGGGACATGGCTGGGGTACAGAGTTAATAAAATATAACTGATAAGAAAAAAATAAAATACAAAAAAAAGAGAGAAAAGTTCTTACCATTTAAACTTTTTCCTATTTGTATAGTGCTGAAGGCAGAGTCTAAAATTGGATCTCGTAGAGTTCTTGTATCAAATGCTGTATTGTTCTTCTCCAAACCATCCACAAAGAAGCTGATTTCTCTCTGATGCACCTGTAAGAATTATCACCGTCATCAAGTGCATAAGCTTTTACTTGGAACTCACAGCATGCCCACAGCCTTTTTCTATGTTTTTTCAAGTCGTTTTACTCTTTCTCAACTTTCTTCAGGTAGGAAAAATGGAAGCAATTTATTTTAACAGCAAAAACAGTATCTCTACATGTTACAGACCTAGATCTAAATCTGTACATTGGTATTTTCATGCTCTGATGATGTATTTCAAGGTCCTCAAACGGTGTATGCACAATGCTGTCCTGTATATGTGCTGATTCTGATAGCTAGGCTTTCAGAGTTATCTGAGGGGTGTATTATTTTTTTTAAAGGCGAATGTCATCATGTTCATACTTGGAAATAAATTAATACACAAGGGGAGAGATATTTGAACCCGGATATACCCAAGATGTACCTATGGGTATTACCTGAGTTACTAGTACAAACTGCTTTCCATTAAGACATTTCTTTAGGCACTGGATCTAGTTGGTGGCTTTTCAATACACTTTCCCATTATAAAATAACATAAAAATGTGCTGATTCTAAGCTGATCAGTCAATCAAGCAGTCTAACAGCTATCTACGTCAGAGGAGAGCTGACTTCCTGAACACCCACAGGATAGTGCAAGTTAAAGAATATTGAGTGGTGCCTAAATAGCTACTTAGGTGCTATCAGCTCTGATGTAACATCATCAAAGAAGCCATTGACCATACTGAAACAAATAGGCCTGTCTGGGTGTCAGATTAACATCAATCAAAAAACTAGGTGACCAGCCAGATAGGACCTGCTGGTTACAACTTGATGGCTCCTGGGTTACAGCATAAAGAAATAAACATGATGTATGACATGAAATGAATCACCAGTTGGTCAACATTTTGTCGCCAGAACCCTACAGGTTGTGGTCAGACACAACTTTGACGGTTACAAATTTAGAATAAACCAACAGCTATTCGGGCACCAACTACAGTATGTACAAAACAGTCTTTCTATTGAAGTGTTTGCGACTGTGAAAGGCATTCAAATTATTAAAGCAACTCGAGCGGAAAGAGAAAGGCCTGAGAGAAGGGATGAGCTGAAGAAGAAGATGGATATACACTATCGTGCAACTAAAAGGCTGATGTTAACACTTCAATGAAGTACAACTTTGGGAATGTTGTTCCAGTGTGGAGTTTGACAGAGTTAGGGTACCTGTAGGTTCATTTATAAAACATGCACTGGTCTGATACAGGACTTCAGTAGTAAAGAATGCAGTGTGTGTAAGGTCAGAAGGCAAAGGGACAATGTCTTTACCAGATGCACTTTGCTATGAGCCTGGCACCGGTCCACAACTATTTGCAAGCCGCTGAGTAGGTAGGCTTTTTTATTCATTTCTTAGCTTAAGAATCTCATACATGCACATAATGTGTTTTGATCAAGGCCACTCCATAGCCTTCCCTGTAACCCTGGTCCCAACCACTTCCTCCTCCAAAACTATTTCAAGAGCATTTCAATTAAAAGTGATTTGAAACAATGAAGCAAGGTAAAACGGTTTATGTTATTATGGGAATTCCTGCCGTAGGAATCCCTTTCCAGAGTCCCCCACTCAAAAAACAAACTCAGGAATCTGAGAGGTCAATGTTATAACTGCTTGGTAAAATGAATTTCCTTAAAGAAAAAAAAAAGTTAGGAAACATTGTGGTTCTTCCTTTTAGCCAACTTCCTTCATTTTATTGTGTTCTTCCTGAAACAAACTGACCCAGGATTGTATGAGAGTTCATTTTAAACACAACTGAAATAGACCTAAAGTCATATACAGTTTCCTCCTGAGCCCACATCTATTTCTCTGTACTGAATAGTCGGGCACACCTTTTTTTCCCCTTGCGTCCCATTTCTTTCGCCTGCTACTGTTATTTGGTGTTTGACTGTTATCATTATGAAAGATACAGGCTCTTCTAGTCTGTTGTTTGTAGCATTATCTCATGTTTTACAGCATCTTTGCACAACATGCAGGCTACATGAAATATAACCAGAGAAAAGTTCCCCGGTGGTATTAATGCATAAAAAAGAATGCAGCTCCATCTCTACTGTCTTTACCCAGCCCAAAAACTGATGAACAGCCAATTTTCCTTTATCACATTAGCACAGCCATGAGGGAAACACATTTGTTCTCGTCAGTTACACTAAAGATACTATTACCAATCTAACATATACATGTTTTATATCAGCAGTGTTCTCAGAGCTTGAGAGAGTCAACAATATATTAACAGGAGCATGACAGTTTATTTAAGAAAAGAAAATTGTCTCTGCAGAGGGACAGAAGCTAGAAATGTATGGCTGAAGCCTGGTGCCACTGCTCTAATAAAGGTGATAATTCTTGCACTTTTTTATAGCAGGTAGCACTCCTCTGACAGCTGTGTCATATCATTCAAATAAAAATGTTGTCTTTTACAAGTTTAAGGATACCTTTATTTTGAGTCAGATAGAAAGCAAGCCTTTGATTCTCTGTATTATATCTGTCGTCGGTGTTCAAGACCTTCATGTCTTCCTTTTTTTTTCTTTTTTTTTTTTTATCAACCCATCACGTATTTGCTTAGTAGAAGAATTCAGTGTCAGTCATAGTGAATTCCAGAAGATGTTTTCACTTGCGTGGCACTTTAAAAATGATTCATGGTGATCCGAAGCTGCTCTCCCCATGCCAACTCCTCCCCGACCAACCATCTTTCTATAAATAAGATTAAATCTTTGGTTTCCTGAACCATGTTTTATGTTACAGAATTGTCCGAACTATTTTCCAATTCTGATCTGGGCAACCATCATACAGACACCGGGAAGACAGCAGTGGCCTCTCAGTGATAGCTCATCCCAATGCCCCCTCTTGCCAGTTACTGGGGAGAATAGGGATGTTTATGATGGGATTGCCGATTTGTGAAGAGAAAGCCTCTTGCAAAACTGCCTCCTATAGCTCTTCTTCTCTGGCCCTGGGCAGAGGAGAGCAGCCTGCATGTGTTCTGATGTGCTTTGAATGAGCAAACTGGCCAATCCAGCGGCATTTGCACAGGACTTTGAACCGACCCCCGTGAGGAGTCCACAAGCACACGGAATGAGTACAAGCCATTCTCAAGCCTTTACTCCATGGGAGTTCCTTATTCCATTCAACCACTTAGCTGCTCAGCACTGTGCCCCGTGAGAGGCTGAACTTAACCATTTGAGTGAAGGAGGCTATACACAAAAACAGCAATAAAATTCTAGGCACTGTCCCCCTGTGCTCATGACTGATTGGTAAGGAATGTATTTCAAATGACACAAAAAGAAGGGCGTGGTAGCACACACTAGAAAACCAAGCATTTGTAATGCTAAGGCAGGAGGACTACTACACGTTGAAGGTTATACTGGGCTGACTACATTATGTAACTCTGAAAAAAAAAAAGAAACCTATAACACATGTATAACCCAATATATATATTTTACATATATATGTATATACATATATCTATATACACATATATATTTATATATACATACATACACATACATATATATATACATATATTCTATCTGGGCTAGCAATGTTCCCACCAACAGTCATAGACTATCTAACAAAAACCCCAACATCCCAGGCATAAGAAGCTTTCTTTTGAGTTGTTGGTCAAACATTGTAGACTATTTCTGTTACCCTTAGCTGCCTTCTGTAAGTGGAAGGCAAGTCTCAATTGCTGAAGACACCATGCACTTTGGACCTGGGACCTAGAAGATCCAAGCTGGATCAGACCTGAATGTCTCCTCCCTGGAGACTACTTTCCTGGCACCAGAATGCACCATGCAAGTTTCCAAAGGAGGACAATAACCAACAATGTCCAGCTATGATGCTTATGAACCACGACAATGACAAGCATGGTAGAATAATCATAAGGATGGACTAGTGGCTCATATACCCTGGCAGTAACCACAGCTCTCAAACTGAACCAAGTACCCACTCAACAACAAGAGGAGGGCTGCGCCTGGTACTGGAAACTGAGACAACTACTCAGGGCCAGTTGAAGCATGGATCTTGGGCGAGAACTTAGCACCACCACTTGACTAAAGCAGTGTAATCTCTAACTACCTCTTATATTTCTCCTTATTCCCACAGATAAGTGAGACCCTCACTTCTCATCAAGCAAACTTCTCTTTGCAACAGAGACCATTACAGAAAACTGCAGCTACATGCCACAGAGTTGTGGAAGTCAGTCCCAAAGGATCCATTTACAGAACACACCTGTATTTAAGGCTCAGAGGTCATTGCAGCAGAAGGGATGGAAAGATTGTAAGAGCCAGAGTGATAGGGAGTTTGATGTGAGGTTGTGTCTTTCATAGCCAGAAGCTACGCTCATCAAATCTCACCAACATGTCTGCCTAAAGAAGACCTGACATAAAGACACATCAGCATACACATGAACAAACATACAATTTTTTTCCAAAAAAGAAATTCACTTCCCCCTGGTGGGATGACCTTGCCAGTCTACAGAGAAAGAGGACATAGGCAGTCCTGATGAGATTTGATAAACTAGGGTCAGATAGCGGGGAAGGAAGACTCCCCCTTTCAGCCTTTCAGTGGACTAGGGGAGGTGGAGGGGAGAGGGAGAAGGAGGGTGTCACCAGGAAAATATGTGGGAGGGAGCTACAATTGGGATAAATATATATATATATATATATATATATATATATGAAATTCACACATCAGTGAGTACTTACTACAGGGAAAATATAAATAAATCCATGTAGACTAAAACACAGATCTCCAAGAAACACCCATGCACACACTCTCTCAGCAGGCTACATGTGATAACAGAATACTTTTAACCTATCAGATGATAGTTGAGTCACCACAAATGACACTATACTTAAATACTGAATTTTCCTGTGGTCAACAGAGCACTGTCTTTGGAAGCCCAGTAGGAAGGGCTTAAAGGGTTCACATGGGAGCATACAGCTTGCAATTGGACTTTTCCTCAGAAAAAGTCCAAGCCTCCCAAGAAGGCCACTTT